AAAAAAAAAGGAGAAAAGAAAAAGGAGTGTGAGAATCTGACTTTTAGGTGCATACTTTTTGTAGGAGGGAAATGTTGTAGAAAAAAAATTTTGAACAGAACCCGATTGGACATCTGGGGCCATGTCTCTATCCAGGTTCGAGAAATCCAGATCTACCAAAGATTTCATCCAGCAAATTCTTGAATGGAAGACAACTAATAAAAAATGGACCATTATTAACAGCTAATCAAAAATGGACCATTATTAATCATTGACCTTTTTTTTTTTTGGAACCTTGGAGAAGTTGAACGATGGGGATAAGATAGATAACTACAAAGAGCAGAAAGGCAGTCCAGCCAGTCGAACCATGACATTTGCCATAGGCTGGGTGCACTTAACCAGCACGGCTATGGCTGCTGGTGCATTCATGGATGATTATTATTAGGTCCAAAATTAGGTAAAGAAGTTTGCAATCCTCGCAGCAATTGATGGAGACTCCATTATTATCATAATAGTCATAGTCATCTCATGTGCTGAAACTAACACTAGGATTACTCGCATGCTAGCCTAGCCCCCAAAAAAGGGTAAAGTGTCTACCAAGTCAAAATGAATTTCGTTCCAGTCAGTTTCAAACAGATCAGATCCAGTTCAATACCCATATGGATCACATTGATGTTTTTGTCATTAACCAACTAATCAAAGCAACCATTCCCATGCGCAATCAGACCAATCAAACATTCTCCAAATCAACAAATCTTTTGAAAAAAGAAAGAATAAGTAAAGCAATGCGTAGGGATTGGGTTTACATTGCCAATTGCCATGCTTTTTATTGACAGAGTAAAAGCTGTCAGATCATGAACACGTACCCATGTGACGTGACAGACACTCAAATAAAGATAAGAAAAAAAAAATCACTGTGTTCAAATTTTTACAAAAAGTTGAAGAGATAAAGAGCTTACCAGGAGATGAGAAAAGGTTCGTCTAAGCTGTTAAACACGTTGATGATGAGATTATCATTGGTAACAGAGTGAATATCAGGACCCGGAAATTGGCCATTGATGAGTATCCCCTGTAACAATCACAAAACAGGGGGGGGAGCGAGCATCCTTTCCATTTCAGATTTCAGAGTTTGAAATCAATTAGATCAATAAAAAAACCCATCAAACTTTCCATTAACAAATAAAAACCCATTAACATCAACTGGATTTTGGACTGACCTGCTGACGAACTCCAAGTGGGTAAATGTCTCCGTAGGTGACATTCCAGTTGAAGAACCTGTACGGGTCATCCGCACCAACAATAGCAAAAACAGCAGCCGTGGAGCAGAAAAGCACCAGTGCCGCCAAGTTCCGACGCATTATGAGGAAGGAAAGGATGCGAGATCCTTTTTAGGGGAAAAAATCGTCAAAGAAGGGAGTTAAGTAAAGAGGAGAGAAAGCGGTTGGGGAGGAGCAGTGTATGATGTGAGAAGGGAGAAGAATTTGAGTGCGGTACAATACGACTATACAAGCGTGAATGGGATGTGTGCTTGAGTTTAAGTACTACAGAGTCGTTATCAAATTAAAAAGAATGGAGGGAAGATTAAAAAAAAGTGGAAAATGGAGGAAATTGAAGTGTCGGTGTGGTGGTGGGTTCCACGGTCCACCTTCCGCGAAGATCCTTCACGGTTGTGTGTGAACTCACAGGCCACATGGGATTGAAACTGTGGGTGGAGTGGTGGGTTTTGTTTTTTCTAATTGGGTGTTGCATGTGAAGAGGTTCTCAATGTTTTGTTCTGCGATTTTATTTGTACTCTCGAATTTTGTCGGACAACAATATTTTTTGCCTTATGTTTTGGTATAATGTTACGGAAATTGTGATTTACAATATAACTTTAGATTATAAAACATTAACAATAAGGATTTATTTAAATTATATTTTAAGAATACAAGTTAAAAGTGTAATAAATATATATTTAATATCATAGATAAAACATATGTAAATAAAGGTTAAGGCTTGAAACATATTTTATAGAGGAATGAAAGAAGAGTTTATTAGTTTTTTCTTAGAAAAAAGTGCCACATGCCAATTTAAGATATTGATGCAGCGAGGCATGGGTCCTCTCGTTTCCAATTCCAAGCCTAGAGAAATCTCAAAATTGAAGCCCAAAAAGGCATTGATTGTCCTAAGAGAGGCTTCAAAAGTTCTAATAATCAAATGGAGGTTTTTGTTTTGGCATGAAGTATGAACTGTTAACAATAAGACTTCAAGATGCAGAAATTTTATAATTATCTCATAATCGAACTCTGTTTTTTTTTTTTTTTTAATCTATATAAACAGCCTTTGTCGCATAAATGATCTACTTTTTAACTAGACTGTTATTGGCTTATTGCTATGTCCTTCACTGCTTATAATGCATGTAAATGCGCAAGAATACCATCCTGCAAGATAATATAAAAAATTTTACATGATGTAAGGTGGGAACAACCGAAAAATGGAAGACAAGGATGGAAGAAGTGTTTGGACTTATCACCTGCATGGGGCAAACCCATTGGCTTGAAGAGAGTGGAAGAGAGCATAAGATAAAAGAAACAAGTAGCAGCTTCAGTGCTTCTTCACGCACTAAGATGGTCAGATGCACGCACATGAATGGTTGGATGACTTTTCTTCACAATCCATAATCATAATCAAAAGAATGCAAGGTCACATGGTTCTGGGAACTGGGATGGTATTGTCTAGGCTATAAATCAAATTTAATCATGGCGGTCCGACAAACAAGAAATAAATTGAATTAATTAACTGACACCTTGGAAGAAAATGAGGATTGACTAAATTAATACAACTTGGACCCTAAAGTGAGAGAAGATACATCCGTACTCGTTTCTACTGGTAGATAGAAAAATAACTGTAAAGTGTCATAATAGGCTAATAGCTCAAGATAACATGTGAGGCATCAGCATGATGTGTTTAATGTAATGAGATTTCATTCTTCTGTTGACTTGAAGTACCTCAGACGCAGCCTGGAAATACCACGTTAGAGATATTACCGCGACGCTTAACAGAATTTCTAGTCAAGTAAAAATCTATTTAAAATGTATAATCAATACTTCTCTTTTTGTTTGCACTTGAATTTTGGATCCAGTGATATTAAGTTAAATTTAAATGTATTTTTTTTGCAGTAATTTAAATTTGATTCCTTATAAAATTATTTTTAAAAAAATACTCTTTTTCCTGTCCAAAAAAAAAAAAAAATCCTCTTCTTCCTGAAAATCTATGTGAACTTGATTTAACAAAATGCATAAGTACTTCATTCATGCCTTAACCTTAGACAAATATTAAAAGGAGATCCAATAATTTATGAGCTAAATCTAGTGACAGCTCACATAACAGATAACACATAATGACATTAACAACCATTTAGAAGGCTCTAGTCAAACCATTCTCCTCCCCATTGCTCTGAAATTTTCTCCACGCAAAAATTTCAGCAGAGAGAAGTCAATGAAGCCTTCGTTGCATTAAAATGCAAATACTAAATAAATGATAATAAAATTGTTCACTCAACAGTGTTTACAAGATTACTTGACTGAAGTTATGAGCCAAAAGAAGCTACGTCTTTGCTATGAATCAACAAAATTTTCTACTTGACACTCATCTTTACATTTAGGGATGAAAATTTTTCTCAATTCCTGTGAGATTTCACAACAATCTTCACTATAAAAGTGAAGTGAAGAGAAATATTCCTACTCACAAGATAGGAAAGAGGGATATTTTTCTCTCATAAATTTATGCAGAGAATTTTTCTAACCCTATTGGACCCAAGGGGGATCCCATCCCCATGAAAAATAAAAAAAAATTAAATTAATTTTATTTTAAATTTAATCCAATCCAATATATCATAATACATTTTAAATCTAATTCAATAAAAATTAAATTTAACCCTATTTTACACAATCCAACTCAAGTTGGTTTAGTGAATTTTAGTTATTTATGTTAGATTGAACTTTATTTATATTTGAACAATTTGTATTTATTTTACCACACAACCATTGATCTTACTGATTATAACTAATTGTATTCTTGTAGAAGTGGAATTTGAAATTGAAATTGTTGTTAAGGTATAAATCCTATGTTGGTTTAGTTATTTATGTTGAATTAATTTTTGTTTATATTTGGGCAATTTATACTTAATTTTATATTTAGAGAATTTTAGTTAATTGTGGAATCTTGATGTTGTATAAGGAAGAGTCTGATGTTGGTTTAGTTATTTATGTTGAATTAATTTTTGTTTATATTTAGATAATTTATACTTAATTTTATATTTAGAGAATTTTAGTTAATTGTACTTAAACTTTTAAAATTTTGTTCATTTTGATTGAATATTAATTAATTATAAGTGAAAAAATTCACATTTTTGTTTTGGTTGGTAGGAGATGGGTATCCTAATACCATTCCCCATGAAGAACAAGGATAAGAGGGAAAATCTACCATCCCTAAAAAATCTCCATAGGAACGGTTACGAAGAGGTTCTCCCCAGCCCCAGGACCCCGTTACCACGCCTATTTACACGTGCCATAATTGGCAAGTCTTAAATTACAGGAGCATGGAACAACATCACCTCTAATACGGCAACTTGAACCATCTATGTGCTTAAAGTGATTTCAAAACAAACTTTGATACTAACAACTCCAATGATATGATTTGTCCATATTTCATTAGCAGGACAAGTCAACTGCTGTTAGTGGCAGTGGTGCCCATGTTACCATTGAACCATACAGCAAACACAAGCAGGAAATATGAACAATATTAGCTGTGCAGAAATACTTAATATATAAATAGATACTGAGATAAGTCAAAAGTCAAACACACAATATTCGGAATCTGGCAGCTTAAATTCAGAATAGTAACCATAAAATTGAAGGGCAGATAGTATTCCTCATAAGCTGAATAAGAGAGCCTATCCACCAAGTTCACCATGGTCTTATAATTGCAGTTAAGAAAACATGTCAAAGATAATAGAGAAAAGAAATCAAATGCGTAGGGAGAACAGAGAATTAGAAAGCTTAGACAGAGTGGTCAGGGGAATCACACTTCTCAAACATTCACATCATAGCTACAAGCAGGGAAGGCTTAAAGCAGGAAGGTATTTTGACAAGGAGGTTCCTTCCAGGATTATACTTGTCAGGTTGTTCAGGATAATCTGCACAGGTGTGTTGTTAAAGCACATTACGTCTCAGGATTTATGGCCCACTCATAATTTCTGTCATTATGAACATTAGTGGTATCCCTCCATCTCAGCAACATTATCTATTTGTGTCCATATATGGGGTCATAAATGTACAAGCGAGGCTTTAAGGCATAGAAGAATCTGACTGGTTTGTATAGACAGTTGGCCACTAAAGTTCAATGCAAACCAAACTGCTCACCTAGATTTACATTATGTTTGGGTTGAGGGGAATGGAACAACGGGAGGAAGTGGATAACCAAATGGATGCTTCATTTGGATAAGTAGATGAATTAAAAGAAAAAATACAGCAAAGGGCTCCCCCCCCTCCCCTCCATTCCCCTCAATCCAAATATATTGTTAGGAAATGGATATCAACCTCCAGAAAAATTCTAACTGGACTTAGAATCTAGATCATTATGATTTTGCTTGAAAATTATTAAATAACAAGACATAAAGCAATATTCCCCAACAATTTCAGCAATACTCTGCAAACTAAGTATTGTTTCAAGAAAAAATCAGAGAGTTTCAGAAATCCAACTCTAAATGCAAGGTAAGGGAACCTCTATCATTTATTTAACCTTGCTGCATAGCGTACATTCTGTCCTCTTCTTTGTTGAGTTCTCCATCCTGAAGTAGTGACTATGGAGATAAAGGTCTGATAAAGAATTTAAAGAAGAAAACATAGCAGAGACCCAAATGAATGTTTTATACAAGTGACAATGCTAGACATATTTCTCCATTGCAGTTTCGATGATTCAAATACATGGAATAAAAATAAAAACAGTTTCTGATACTCACTGCCTCAAACTCAAACACATGAGTTCAAAGACATCAAATTGTCATGGAGAAAGCAATTGGGTTTTCACAAAACAGCAAATACTCACTGAACAAGCAATCAGGTTTCCAAGCAACAATAAATACTGACTCAACAATACTAGCGTGAAATGGATAATTTGATAATAATAATAATAAACATCAGAATTGAAAAATAAAAATCAACATAACTGTTTCATTTTGTCTTGATTAAACATTAACAATTTTATCCAGATCACGAAATGCTTTGTTCTGCGAGGAAGAAATTGAATTTAATCTCAATTTCAAAGCAAAAACATAACTAATCCTGAATTCATTATATCAGAAAGCAAAAGCCTCAATAGGGTGACATTCATATCCATACCAAAAATCACTATCAAGCAAGTTCTGAAGGGATGAAATGGTTATTAATTCAATGGGCACAAAGCATAAAATCCCTAATAAACTTAAGGTAACAAGAACTCACTCAGAAATGGATTGACTATGACAGTATAACCTAATCGTCGTCGCTGAAGAGGAGGCGGAGGCGGGAGGCGAATGCTCCAGTGGGCTCGAGAGAGGCCTCGTGGAGAAGACTACGTTTTATGTTGTTCATCCGATCGGCGAGGGACTCTTGCTCCTGTTTGAGAGCGGCGGTGTCCTCTTGAAGGTCGTGAATGCGGTATTTTTGGCCCAAGGATCTGATACTCAGAAGAAAAATACCAGTCACAGCGAAGAATTGAATGAAGCTATGCTTGTTCTTCTTTGCGTTTGCTATGAACCCTAACGACTTCCTAGGAATTCGGGAGTCCGGCGCCGCCGAGCCCGTCGGTGCTGATGAAGCCATAAGCGCGCCGCAACCGAAGCAAACCCAACACCAACAGGTTAAAATCCGATTCGGGACGGAGTCAAGTGTCGTGTGTTTGTTTGAGCCTTTGAGGCACAGTGAGCAATCTCGTTTGCGTATAAAACGACACAAATGTATGTCGTTTTCTGTTTCTGGTGATTGGGTTTTAAAAGTGGTAGCATTTGTTACTGCACCTCGTAGCATTGTAACGGGATTCAGTAAGTAGTTACAAACTCATGAAAAGAATTATTCCTAAAAATCATATTATATGTATAACCCATTGTAGTGATCATTTTGCATCTATTATTTCAAAACATCCCTAATGGAGGAGTTCAATTAGTTTTGAATTCAAGACTTCAATTTGATATTTCCAGTTTGAACCATGAACCAAGTAGAATAAAAAAAAAAAAAAAAGTTAAAAAAATTCATTATCAGATAAATATTGCTTTTATCAGAATTGAATTTGGATATTACAGACGGAAACAGAAAATATTGCATCGTCACAGGCACAACTTCACTATTTTTCTGAATAATAATAATGTAATAAATCTCTAGATACTGAACAAACAAGGAATTGACTGCTCTACTACATGAGGAAGGAGAGCGGAATGGCTGAAAGCTTGAAATAAATCCCTAAAACACATCAAAATTGTGGTCTGAAAGTGATGTTAATGCCTGCATTCCATATCAGAAGTCAAGACTTCCACACTGTTTGCTCTCAATACTTTTCGTTTGGCTATTCTGTTTTACATCCTGCTTGAGATCATTGTTCAGGGTTCGACTACGTCCAATCCCCAGCTTGGGCAGACCCCGATTCAGTCCCTCCAGCAAGACACAAGCTTTACACCATTTCTGTATATCATAGCGTGTAGGTTCTATCAGTTTCAAGTACGTTGAATTATATTGCAGTTAAATACCGGTCATCACTGACAAACATCCATGGAAAGGAAGGTTTCGTTGATATACAAGGCATAAGATAAAGGGTGCACCTGGCTAGAAATGTAACCGCATCTTTCACAGGTTCCCTGTTCTGGCATTTTTGTAGAAGTGGATATTCTGAAATCTTCCCCTGATTTGATTATATCAAGTATAGCCCTTGGTCTGCAATAACAAGTTGAAAAACAATTTTCAAGTTGTAATGGTCCCAGAAGGGCCAGAACAAAAGTAAACGACCTGAAGTTAATTAATGTGATGCTGTTCAAAAAAGAAGTTAATTAATGTGATGGCTAAAAAGAAAGTGGAAAAACAAAAACCTGATTCTCTCCAAATCTTTAATGAATTCACGAGCAAAACCACGATATGCGTTTGGAGAATATATACCTGAAATTTTAAAGACATGAAACTGCATGTTAAAGTAAAAGAGACAGAATAAGAAATACAATCTGAACTCAGTAAAAAGGAGACATATTGAACCAATCACCAAAGCAATTAATTAGTAATCTTGGCACAAGAGGTTTGGAAATGATTGCAAATAAATTCAGAATAAATTGTTGAAAGGAGCTTAAATAAGAATGGAAAATGGCAATTACATTCAGTGGAGAAGTAGTCCAGCTTCTTGAAATAAGCATACGTGGATATCTGGTTAAGGTTTTCGCAACTAATAATAATGGATGAGATGAGTTGGATCAATGAATTAGCATTCAAACTTTTAGAATAGTGGGAATTTCAAGGATATATCACAATTTCCTTCTCATACGTGTACTTAAAAGGTTTGCATCTTGGAATTGGTCCATCTTCACCAGTAGTAATCAAAGTGCATCTACTCAATCTGCAAGCCAGATTCCAGAAGGTACTAACTCAGTTTAACAATAAAACAGAAAAAGACAAACAATATCCAGTTAGCAATATATTACCTAGCAATATCACCTCGTAATATGTTCAAGAGAACTGTTTCAGCAATATCATCTGCATTATGCCCAGTAACAAGCTTGTCTACTTTAAGCAGTGCAGCACCACGATCAAGAGCCTTAAGCAAAACAAAATCTATTAGCACAATGATAATCATTCCATCTCAAATCATAAAAATAGTACAAGTCCAACAACATCACAAACAAGTCATGACTGGTACATAAATTGAACAAAACAAAGTTGTTTAAGCTAAATATGCATGCTATACAGACACCATGTATAAAAGTCTAACATATTCAGAGGCATTTCGCATGCATTGCTAATGGGGTTTTTCTAACTTGTACCTTTAGGGGCACCTTTTTTATCATAAATGCATATAGAAAAATGTAAAAGCTGACATCAATTTTAGTATTAGTCCCAAGTGGATGAATTTAATTGGATAGTTAATAAATTAAACATAGCTTTTATTTTTTTAATACAAATTTATGATGAAAAGGTGTATTTATTACACCCTTGTGCCCTTGGGGCATAAATTAGAAAAACCCTTGTTAATATACCTGACGTCGAAAAACACCACAAAATGTGCAATTATTCTTCAAACCAATCATCTTCACTATTTCATCCATTGTCCATCCATACAACTCCTTGTATGATACAATTTTTAGTGGTAGCCCATACTGAGAGAACAAAAGATATGAATCATTTCAATTTTCATTAATAACGAAAAAAATATCTCAGAATCATTAAAGTCAATGCTTGAAACAGAACTTCAGTAAAAAAAGAACAAAGAAATAATCAAAATGGTAGGCACGGAAAATAACATGTGAAATGAAAGATCGACCAACACTTTATAGAAACTAAAGAATGACCATATAGCAACAAGAACATGCAGAGAGAATATCACTGCAGCTGCCATGAGAACATCGAAAGACAGTTTCATTTTATACAAATTGGCAAGCAAGAACCAGCCTGTGTATGAAACAATAGCTGACAACAGACAAAAGCCCTATGTTTTGAAGAACAAACCATCCAACAATTGGATCAAATTGAATTTGCATCTACTTCACCTGAATTTCATTTCTTTTAACAGTTTCAAGTGAATCATCTCTGTATCCTGTAATCCCCTCGTCAACAGACAACAGGAAAAGATCAAGACCATAATTATGCCGCCGATTCAGTTCCGATAAGACATACGCAAGAACCGTCGAATCTGCCACGAAAGAAGACAAAGAAGAATCAAAAGCATTTACAAGCAGGTTCTAAAAACTTGAAAACCAATGAAACAAAGTATGGCGGAAGTCTCCGGAGCTCAGAGAGATACCTTTTCCGCCGGAGGCACCAATACCAATGCGTTCACCAGGTTTAAATAGTTGGTTTTCAACAATTGTCTGATGAATTTCTTCCTCAAATGCCTCGTAGAAACATTCCCTGCATATCTTTAACAAAGCATGATTTTAGCATCGAGTGCCTATGATTTTCCATTGAAGAAATTTAACAGAAAATCAGCAAAGCTAAGGATATTGAAAAAGATTGAACTATACTGTAACCTAACATTGTTTGTTTGTTTGAAACTGAAAAGGAGCAACAGTTTCTGATGTTACCTGGTCTAGGGTTTTAGGTCGTTTGAGAGCCGCCCTTCTCTGGTTACAGGCGCAGCAGAGGCGAACTCTGGGCTTCTTGTCAGCTTCCTCCATTCCAGAGGCAGAGCTATTCTAGGGATGATCACGGCGGGAGTAACGAACAGAGCGTGAATCAGGGCTACCGGTGAAACCGTGAACGTTTACAGCGCGGGCCTTCGCCGTTTAAAGGGAAGGGTGACTGGTTTTCACTTCTCGTATTCTTCATCAAAGGCCGAAGTTCACTGGCAATGAGTAACCCAACTTTAAAATTTTCAGCCCAATAACCCCTGTATGCTCTAGCCCATGCTCAACCCCTAGTTAACTTTGACTTAAAAAGTCAAAAATTGGAGGGGGTGTTTGGTTGGAAAAAAAATTTTTTTTTTAACTTCTTTTTATAAGGTTGTTTATATATTTTTATATATTAATATTATAATTAAAAAAGTAAAAGTGATACTTG